CACACACACACGCACAGAAACACACAGAGTCACACACACACACACAGAGTCACACACACGCAGAGACACACACACACACACGCAGAGTCACACACACACACACGCAGAGACACACACGCAGAGTCACACACACACACGCACACAGTCACAGACACGCAGAGTCACACACACAGTCACAGACACGCAGAGTCACACACACAGTCACAGACACGCAGAGTCACACACACAGTCAGACGCACGCAGAGACACACACACGCAGAGTCACACACATGCAGACACAGAGTCACACACACACAGAGACACACACATGCAGAGACACAGTCACACACACGCAGAGACACAGTCACACACACGCAGAGACACAGTCACACACACGCAGAGACACAGTCACACACACGCACAGTCACACACACACGCACAGTCACACACACACGCACAGTCACACACACACGCACAGTCACACACACACAGTCACACACACACAGAGACACACAGGGTAAAGATGATGGGAGTCTACAGATCGATGCTCAGCTGATGATTTCTTCTTCTCTGGTTTCTTTTCTGCAGGCCCGACCTCCTGCTGCTTGATGGTGAGTCACACCTCCCTCGCTGCAGCTGTGATGGGAGGAGGTGGTCTGTGACGTATTCTCCATGTTTTGTGTTTCAGAGCCCACCAACATGTTGGATGTCAGAGCTATTCTGTGGTTGGAGAACTACCTGCAGGTAAGGTTAGCCTCTCTCTGCAAACAGCGGCCTCGCTCACAGACGTGTGCGTGAGTGTTTCTCTCACACATGGATTCTTCTCACCTCAGTTTGTTTACACATCCTGACGATGTCACCTCACGTCCTGATAACGATCCCTGTCACTCAGTGTTAATGCTGGACGTGTTCAGACCACATTGATGAAAACAGGTCAGCCTGCTTCCTAATGAGGAGAAACTGGGGCGTGGCCATATTCAGACTGTAGGTTTAAAACGTTTGTGCGGTGGTGTCAGTGAACGAGGCAGGCTGCGTCGGTTATCTCAGCTGCACTAACCTCATAAGTCATCCCTCCCCTGCAGACCTGGCAGTCCACCATCCTGGTCGTCTCCCACGACAGAAACTTCCTGAATGCCGTGGTCACAGACATCATCCACCTGCACTCCCAGAGGCTTGACAGTTACCGCGGCAACTACGAAAATTTTATTAAAACCAAAGAGGACCGACTGAAGAACCAGCAGAGAGAGTACGAGGCCCAGCTGCAATACAGACAGCACATACAGGTACACACAGGTACAGACAGTACAGACAGGTACACACTGGTACAGACAGGTACAGACAGTACACACAGGTACAGACAGTACACATAGGTACAGACAGTACACACAGGTATACATAGGTACAGACAGGTACAGACAGTACACACAGGTACAGACAGGTACACCCAGGTACAGACAGGTACAGACAGGTACACACAGGTACACACAAGTACAGACAATACACACAGGTACAGACAGTACAGACAGGTACACAGGTACACACAAGTACAGACAATACACACAGTTACACACACTCACAGACAAGTACACACAGGTACACACAGTAACAGACAGGTACACATAGGTACACACAGGTACAGACAGATACAGACAGATACAGACAGTACAGACAGATACAGACTGGTACACACAGGTACAGACAATACACACAGGTACACATAGGTACACCCATGTACAGACAGGTACACACAGGTACACACACTTACAGACAAGTACACACAGGTACACACAAGTACAGACAGGTACAGACAGTACACACAGTTACAGACAGGTACACACAGTACAGCACAAGTACAACAGGTACACACAGGTACACCCATGTACAGACTGGTACACACAGGTACAGACAGTAACGGTACAACAGTACAGAACGTACACAAGGTACAGACAGTACAAAGGTACACAGTCAGTACACGACAGGTACACAAGTACAGACAATACACAGGTACAGACAGTACAGACAGGTACACACAGTAACATTACACACAAGTACATAACAGGTACAGACAGGTACACCCATGTACAGACAGGTACACCCATGTACAGACAGGTACACACAGGTACAGAAAGTACACACAGGTACAGACAGGTACACACAGGTACACCCATGTACAGACAGGTACACACAGGTACAGACAGTACAGACAGGTACACACAGTACACACAGTTACAGACAGGTACACATAGGTACACACAGGTACACACAGGTACAGACAGGTACACACAGGTACAGACAATACACACAGGTACACACAGGTACACCCATGTACAGACAGTACAGACAGGTACACACAAGTACAGACGATACACACAGGTACACACACTTACAGACAAGTACACACAGGTACAGACAGTACAGACAGTACACACAGTTACACACAAGTACAGACAGGTACACCCATGTACAGACAGGTACACACAGGTACAGACAGTACACACAGATACAGACAATACACACAGGTACAGACAGATACAGACAGGTACACACAGGTACAGACAATACACATAGGTCCAGACAGTACACACAGGTACAGACAATACACATAGGTCCAGACAGTACAGACAGGTACACACAGGTCCAGACAGTACAGACAGGTACAGACAATACACACAGATACAGACAATACACACAGATACAGACAATACACACAGGTACAGACAGGTACACACAGATACAGACAGTACAGACAGGTATAGACAGTACAGACAGGTACAGACAATACACATAGGTACAGACAGTACAGACAGGTACAGGCAGTACAGACAGGTACAGGCAGTACAGACAATACACACAGGTACAGACAATACACACAAGTACAGACAATACACACAGGTACAGACAGTACAAACAGGTACACACAGGTACACACAGGTACACACAGGTACAGACAGGTACACACAGGTACACCCATTTACAGACAGTACACACAGGTACAGACAGTACAGACAGGTACACACTGGTACAGGCAGTACAGACAGGTACACACAGGTACACACAGGTACACACAGGTACAGACAGTACACACAGGTACAGACAGTACACACAGGTACACACAGGTACAGACAGTACACACAGGTACAGACAGTACACACAGGTACACCCATGTACAGACAGGTACACACAGGTACACCCAAGTACAGACAATACACACAGGTACAGACAGTACAGACAGGTACACACAGTACACACAGTTACACACAGGTACACATAGGTACACACAGGTACACACAGGTACAGACAGGTACACACAGGTACACACAGGTACAGACAGTACAGACAATATACACAGGTACAGGCAGTACACACAGATACAGACAGGCACACACAGGTACAGACAGTACAGACGGGTACAAACAGGTGCTCCACGGTATGCCTGCCTTGTTGGTGTCTCTTCGTTGTTTCATGTCAGTGACTCAGTGCGTCTGTAGGACGTGCTGCTCACAGACAGCTTGAATCACAGACTGTCTGTCAGGTGATTCTGTGTCACAGAGCTGATGTAGTTTTGGTGAACGGCTGCTGTGTGTCTTTCAGGTTTTCATCGACAGATTTCGGTACAACGCTAACCGAGCAGCTCAGGTGCAGAGTAAACTCAAACTCCTGGAGAAGCTGTGAGTGCTCCTCGCCCTCCTCGCCTTGATCTGGTGTCTGTGCTGCCTGTCTGTAAGCTAATGCTTGCTTTCTCCCGCAGACCTGAGCTAAAGCCCATCGAGAAGGAAATTGAAGTCACGCTCAGGTAAGAAGATGACCTCTGACCCCCAATGATCACTGTGGCAGTAAAGCTTGGACTAGCTGACATGCTGTGTGTCGCTTCAGGTTTCCAGATAACTTTGAGAAGTTATCTCCGCCCATCCTGCAGCTGGATGAAGTCGAGTTTTACTACAGTAAAGACCAGCCGCTGTTCTCCGGACTCAACCTGTCAGCTGACCTCGACTCTCGGATCTGCATCGTATGTGTGACAGCACTGTGTCGTGACCTTCACGGTCTTATCACCATGGTGACTTCACGGTGTCGCCACGGTCAGCGTATAGTGCTTTACAGCTGACGGCAATGAGTCAGCAGAGAGCGTTGTGCGAGTGGAGAGACCTTCAGGTGTGGCTGGCTTAGCTGGCATGGCTCCAGGTTAGCTTGTTAGCTCAGGGATGGACTGACAGGCCGCAGAGCGTCAGGTCTGCACTGTACCGTCAGACACAAACGTTGGCGAGCGTCTCCTGAACACGATAGGTGGCTCCACCGGGTGGTGTGATGCAGCAATTACAAACTAATTATTGACTAAGATGAGTTCTCAAAGAGGCATGCACAGATATCAGTACTCAGACAGGAAGTGAGCACTGGGCGCCTATGCAGAGTGAGACATGATTCAGAGGTACAACAGGAAGTGCAGTCATTAATCAGCTCGCTGTTTGGGCTGTTGTGTTTCTCGGCAGGTCGGTGAAAACGGTGCTGGTAAAACCACCGTCCTCAAGTTGCTGATGGGCGAGTTGACCCCGGTCAACGGAGTCAGGCAGGCTCACAGGTAAGACGACCAGTGGACCAATCAGAGCAGAGGGGTCTGTTGGTTGCATCTTATTGGATCTCTGTACACTGTGCAGGAAGCCTTTCTTTCTCTCCACTCGCTCTTTAAGGGACTGCCTGCGCTGTTTTTAGGAAGGTTTAACATTTTCTCCCTCTTGGCTCCTCCTCTTCCTGTTTCTACCTGTGATGTGTTCCAGCCTTTGCACCTGTTTCATTCTTTGTTTCCGAGTGCTCCGTTCTGTTTATCGGGCCTGCGGGTTCAGACTGAGGACGCGCCATTGTTCATGCGCTGTTTGTGGGATCTGCTCGTGCTCGGAGCGATTGTCAGCGAGTGCTGATAATCGAGACGCGCTCGCTAATCTAAACATGCCTGCTGCTCATCTTTTCGCCTCAGGAACTTGAAGATCGGTTACTTCAGTCAGCACCATGTGGACCAGCTGGACCTGAACGTCTGCTCTGTGGAGCTGCTCCTCAACAAGTTCCCCGGTAACTATAGCAACAGCGCCATCAACAATACCATTGGCAGCTCCACGTCGCGCTCTGATGGGCTGCTGCGTTTGCATCGCAGGTCGGACCGAGGAGGAGTACCGCCACCAGCTGGGAGGTTACGGTATCACGGGGGAGTTGGCCACGAGGCCGGTGGCCAGCCTATCAGGAGGACAGAAGAGCCGCGTGGCCTTCGCTCAGATGACCATGCCATGGTAACTGGATGACTGAATGTAGTGTAAAGCGCTATACAAATACAGGCCATTTACCATTTCTTCAGAGGGTCCAACACAGGGGCGGAGCTAGACTGTTGACACAGAGTGGGCGGGACTAAAAAAATGTTAAAATGATGCAGCCATAGTGTTTCCACAGGTTTGATGTAAGTAAACATAGAGGCAACAAACCTTCCTTTAAATACGATGCCTATTAGAAACACACGGCAGTCATCAGTGTGTTTGTGTTTTTGCTCCATCTGCTGACTCTGCAGAACATTTAATGTACAGTAAGTCTGATGGAAGAGTTGAGCTTTGCAAAGACACGAGACTGAAGAATGAAACACGTCCTTTCAGTTTCCTTTTAATAACGAGAGCGCTGAACAAAATGTTGTTGGTAAAGACAGATCAGAGCGTGTGTGTGTGTCTGTCTGTGTGTGTGTGTGTGTCTGTCTGTGTGTGTGTGTGTGTCTGTGTGTGTGTGTGTGTGTGTGTCTGTCTGTGTGTGTGTGTGTGTGTCTGTGTGTGTCTGTCTGTGTGTGTGTGTTGTGTCTGTGTGTGTCTGTCTGTCTGTCTGTGTGTGTCTGTCTGTGTGTGTGTCTGTGTGTGTGTGTGTGTCTGTCTGTCTGTCTGTCTGTGTGTGTGTGTGTGTGTGTGTGTCTGTGTGTGTGTGTGTGTGTGTGTTGTGTGTGTGACTGTGTGTGTGTCTGTGTGTGTGTGTGTGTGTCTGTCTGTCTGTGTCGTGTGTGTGTGTGTGTGCTGTCTGTGTGTGTGTGTGCTGTCTGTCTGTGTGTGTGTGTGTGTGTGTGTGTGTGTGTGTGTGTGTGTGTCTGTGTGTGTGTGTGTGTGCTGTGCTGTGTGCTGTGTGTGTGTGTGTGTGTGTGTGTGTGTGTGTGTGTGTGTGTGTGTGTGTCTGTGTGTGTGTGTGTGTGTGTCTGTGCTGTGTGTGTGTGTGTGTGTGTGTGTGTGTGTGTGTGTGTGTGTGTGTGTGGCTGCTGTGTGTGTGTGTGTGTGTGCTGCTGTGTGTGTGTGTGTGTGTGTGTGTGTGTGTGTGTGTGTGTGTGTGTGTGTGAGACATGTCTGGAAGAAATCTGTCAGACTTCATCATCACTGCTGTGGCTGAAGGACGGAGCAGGCGGTGCTGAGGATGCAGTCACACTCTTCTCAAAGCGCTTGCTGTTGAAATCTGACGTGGCTGGACGTGACTCCGCCTCTTCCTGTGAACGCACTCCCAGCTAGATTGATTAACCTGTTATTGTGGTTTTGATGGTGATGATGTCATCTTTGTGTCCTCCAGCCCAAACTTCTATATCCTGGACGAGCCGACCAATCACCTGGACATGGAGACCATCGAGGCGCTCGCTAAGGCTCTGAACAAATTCAAGGTGTGTGTGTGTGTGTGTGTGTGTGTGCGCGTGCGCGTGCGTGCGTTCTCACCTGTGTGATGTCACGTGTTTCAGGGCGGGGTCATCCTGGTGTCACATGACGAGCGTCTGATCAGGATGGTGTGTAAGGAGCTGTGGGTGTGTGAAGGCGGGAAGGTGCGGCGCATCGACGGCGGGTTCGATGAGTACCGGGACATCCTGCACGAGCAGTTCAAGAAGGAGGGTTACCTGTGACGCTCCACCCACTGCTTACTGACCGTACCCACCACTGACATAACCACGCCCCCTCCATTATGATGTGTCGCAGCAGCTAATCGGCATCTAGAGCGGACCGGAGGACTTTTTCTTCTCTGAACTCTCACCTGCTGCTCAGGTGATCTGCTGCAAGCTGATTGGCTGCGAACTCTGCGGGGAGAGGGGTCACCCAGAGCGGCTCGGCGTTTATTTAACGAGTGAACCTGTCGTCTGTCTGTCGTCTCAGCTGATTGTGTTTTGTATGGCAGCGGTTTCCTGCGAGCTGATGTCACAGTGACATCAGACACAAAACAAATAAAAGAATCATATCACGCCTCCGCCTCTCTCCTTCACTCCGGGGTGGGGTTGGGGTGGGTCGTGGGCGGTATTTAACTGTGCCAGGCAGTACTCAGAGGTGCCACCGGATGGCGCTCAGGAGGAGCAGATCTGCTCTCAGGAGTGAAGTTTCTACACGTTTATCCTAAACGTGGCCGTGCTCACTGCTAACGAAACGCTAGCTAAGCAGTGACAACAAAACATGTCCGCCTGATAAAACCAGTGGTTAAAGCGAGGTGAAAAATGTGATTTGGTATTTTTGTTTTTAAATGGTACCGTGGAAACGTGCTGGGCGGTTACAGATAGCAGAGCTTTATGAGCTGTGTTGAGCTTCACAGCGGTACGACACCCAGAAACCCTCACAGGCACGAGCGATCCAGCGAGCGCGAGCGATGACGAAGAGCTGCCAGGGTTCAGCTGCTTTCTCTCTTTCTGTCTCTCAGACAAACTTCAGCCCTCCGGCTTCAGAGCGCCGAAGAGGGACAGGACAGCAGAGGGAGGGGAAGACCTGCAGCAAACCGCGGGTCGGACTCGAACCTGGGCGCATGTCCAGAAAAAATCTACAGAGTTAACTGCAGGAATGTCTTAAAGACATAAAGACCTGGATGGCCGCTAACTTTCTGCTTCTTAATTCAGATCAAACTGAGGTTATTGTACTCGGCCCTGAAAAGCTTAGAAATATGGTATCTAACCAGATTCTTACTCTGGATGGCATTACCTTGGCCTCCAGTAACGCTGTGAGGAACCTTGGAGTCATTTTTGACCAGGACATGTCCTTCAACGCACATATTAAACAAATATGTAAGACTGCTTTCTTCCATTTGTGCAACATCTCTAAAGTTAGAAATATCCTGTCTCAGAGTGACGCTGAAAAACTAGTTCATGCATTTATTACTTCCAGGCTGGACGACTGTAATTCATTATTATCAGGAAGTCCTAAAAACTCCCTGAAAAGCCTTCAGCTGATCCAAAATGCTGCAGCAAGAGTCCTGACAGGGACTAGAAAGAGAGAGCAGATTTCTCCTGTTTTGGCTTCCTGTTAAATCCAGAATTCAAAATCCTGCTCCTCACATACAAGGTCTTAAATAATCAGGCCCCATCTTATCTTAATGACCTTGTAGTACCATATCACCCTATTAGAGCACTTCGCTCTCGCTCTGCAGGCCTACTTGTTGTTCCTAGAGTATTTAAAAGTAGAATGGGAGGCAGAGCCTTCAGTCTGTTGTTGTGATTTGTTGCTGAAAAATGAATTGAATTCACGTTGATTTAGATAAATCATCATCCCAGTCTGTCCACTGCTGATGGACGACTGAAGACCGGAAGAAGCTGTTACAGACTGATGACTCTTCAGGACCTGGGCCCTATTTCAGGAAGCCGGTTTAGAAAACTCAGAGTGAAAAACGATACTCAGGGTTGAGTAACCCCGAACTGTCCAACTCGGAATATTCGGTTTCAGAAAGGCTGATAACAAGTAGTTCAGTCAACGCGGAGTTGCTTTAACCCCAAGTTAAGCGCGCGCACGAGGATACATAAAGCCCTGATTAGTGGAGCACAGATTAAGCGAGTCACCATGGAGACGGAGGGAAAGAAGGCGCGGTCAATGTATTTTACAGCGCTTGAGGCCGAAATTCTGATGGCAGCATATGCCGATAACATGCAAATTTTGCAGAAAAAAAGTAACACAGCCTCAGCTGCAAAAGAAAGGGAGCATGCATGGCAAAACATAGCCGACAGAGTCAATGCGTGAGTGTTAATTTAAACATTGATCTAGGGATTTCCACCCATTTAACACGTTATTTTATTATATTTATTTTATTTTTTATTTTATACATTTTATTTTGTGATGTGATGTGAGCGCAGGTGCAACCCAACAGGCCCCAAACGTTCCTGGCAGCAAGTAAAAATGAAATAA